GTGGGGGGTCCAAATGAATGGTTTTTTAATGTGGGGGGGACTTGTCCTCTTCGCATATAATGGTTGCGACGCCTATGCACGGGGTGTGCTGAACCGTTTCGGTACGTTCGGTTCGGTCCACGTGCGTACCGTCTTGTTTATTTTTTGACTCACTAAATTGTATTAATGAGAGGTTATGATTATTATTAGATGAAGTGAATGAATGATGATTATTAGATTATTATCACCATTGAACTAAAGTTCCTGAGCGTGTTTCAGCACGGCGCTATTATCTTGTAGCACACGTAGCATTAGCAGCTAGCATCTGTTTGGGAACATTGTGTGTCTCTTGTTAAAAGACAAGTGAACAAGTCAAAGCTGTGTGTCGACGTGGATCTGCAGCAGCAACACGTCCGACTTGTCAACAACTTGAAACGACATCATCCGAACGTGAACGTCTCTTGTACAATGAAGAAAAGCAGCTTGGTTCAAAGAGCAGCATGTAAACAACCTTCATCAGGTCGTTCACATCGGTCCAGAGCAACAACTCGAGCTGTAGGAGGTTCTAAAGATAATAATAATTATAATAATTATTAACCATTATTATTAATAATCTCTGGATCTACGTTTCTGTTGTTCATGCACCAACTTCAAAGTTATTGAGCCCCGCTACGACATCCCATCACGTCAACACTTCAGCCACAAAGTTGTAGCAGCACTTTATGAAAAAGATAAAACTGATACTGTCAACAAGCCCTGGACCAGATTAAAGCCCTGCCCTGATGATGATGATGATGATGACCGAGAGGTTCAACCACCTCACAACAACCGTTCAAGAAGAGGTATCCTTATTTTATTATTATTATCTAATTATCTTTTTTAATTTAAAATTATAATTTCATTCATCCTTTTTTTTACGTCTTTGTGTTTTATTTCCAATCTGGGACAGAGACAGCAGCTGAGTCTTCTTCCTCTTCAGGGAAGTCCACCAGAGATCACCTCCAGTGTGTGATGAGTGAACTCTGAAGTTCTCCAGGGACCTGGTCCACCTGTGGGAGCAGCTCCAAGAGGCTGTGACTGATGATGAGGCCACATGCAGCCACACTGCAACATGATCAAAGCTCTGCCTCTTTATTCCTGCTCCTGGTGTTAGTGAGAGGTTTCCTCCACTGCTCCTGGTGTTAGTGAGAGGTTTCCTCCACTGCTCCTGGTGTTAGTGAGAGGTTTCCTCCACCGCTCCTGGTGTTACTGAGAGGTTTCCTCCACTGCTCCTGGTGTTAGTGAGAGGTTTCCTCCACTGCTCCTGGTGTT